CGTTTCCGGAAAATCCCGTTGGAAAGTAATTGAAACACCCCTTTTGGGGGCGATCGAACGGAAAATTTCCGGGAGCAACGGAACATCTGAAAAGGTAGTCCTGTGAGTTTCCGGACAAAGATTCCAAGCGGGAAAGTCGTGTTCCATTTCTTCAAAGCCATCTTTGATACCAGTTTCTAGCCTGTTCATAGACCCTCTCTATTTTCTTTTTAAAGTCCGTCGAGCGCGCGTGATAAAATATGAACCGCGGGTCTTTATTTTTCTTTTTCGCGCTTCGCGCTCGAAAAGAACGAAAACAAAAGTAAAACAACGTATGTGTACAGGGTAACCAGTTTCAGGCCTTCGCGGTCGTTTTCCGGTGAATGGAACTGATTTGAACAAATGGTAAGCGCGATTCCGGGACGAAATTTACCAATCAACCCGTATTAACGTAGTAACAAGTTCCCCTGTACTTTTTTTCACCACAAAGTTAGCACGCTTATTTCCGTTGAAGGAATTAATAAGCCCTCTCCCGGTCACTAAATCAGATAAAATTTCTAACATTCGCCACTACCTACGAGCATTTTCGCTAAAACTCCTAGTAGACTGACGATGGCTGCCACAATTTCCCGCCAAAAAGAAGTTGGCTTACGCCCGTGCACTACTTAGTATTGGGAAAATCTCGTTCTCGTAGTCGTCCTCTGGGGCGCTTTCCATTTAGGAAAAAAACCCGGAAATTTCGGTGGGAGCAAAAGTGGAATTTCCGATTGGTAAAAAGTTGTTCCATTTGTCCATTTGGTCGTAAACCCCGGCACGTCGCGGTGCCCGACCGTGGACCTGGAACTGGTACAAACTACGAGAAACGTAAATGGGACACGACTGAGTTCCGTTCGGAAATTCCAACCGGGAAAACGGGCCCACCTTTTTAGATTTTCCACTTTTTCTGGGAATTTTCCAGTGGGACGAATCGACGAAACGTGTTCCATTTACGGCCGAACCGAAAATTCCGGAAATTTTGACTAAATGGAAAGCGCCCCTGGTCTTAGAATCTAAAGCTCTCTATGAAAATATGTCCCTGTTAAACGAGCGAAGATATAACTCCGCAAAGTTTCGAAAGTTTGCAGATGTTTGTATGATACAAACGTCAGATCTGCAAAAATTTCGAGAGTTTGAACACAGGGACCCCAGAATCACAACAGCCTACTGAAAGCCAAATTATAAGGATCTGTATGGAAATTTATGTTAAGATCGATAAAATGGTTAAAATGTACAAAAAACAGCTATTTAAGTATACATACCTGATGAAAAGTTTTGTTTTTGTTGTTTTCTTACTGTTTCCTGCCCTATAAACGCAACTATTAAGAAGTCCTCTTCTTAATAGTTGAAAAACCAAAACATTAAAACTTGCTAAAATGGCGTTTATAGGGCAGGGAACAGTAAGAAAACAACAAAGACACAACTTTTCATCAGGTATGTATACTTTAATAGCTGTTTTTGTACATTTTAACAATTTTATCGATCTTAAGATAAATTTCCATACAAATCCTTATAATTTGGCCTCAAGTAGGCTGTTGTGATTCTGGGTGCCCTGTGGTTTGAGGAGCTTTTCAACTCTGCAATTTTCCTAATTTAAAGGCGCTCTTTCCTGCTCAGTCGACGGATTCTCCCCAAGGTGTTAATGTCAAAAGTTGAGAAAAACCGTGGAAAGGGAAAGACGGTAGACCTATTCCGCTTACAACTCCGTTGTTTACGATCAAGTGAAAACTTGGTTGCTGGAGTCGCAAGCAGAAGCGGAAAAACTAAACCAATCATAAAGGAAAGAAAGAAAATTATAATTGACAATTCCCCCACTCCTGGCCGGGCAGACCTTTGATGAAATTCCACATCACGGAAACCGACAACACTTTACAAATACCCGGCACGATTCAGCAGGGGTCCAGCGGGTGGAGAAGGAGTTGAGCCAGAGCGAGACCCGAACCCGGGAGTACTTTAGCCTTCCCCAGATAGCGTTCTTTTTCTCCCCCTCTCGGTTGCGGTACTCGTCATAGCGACATAGCTGTGAAAGTTTTTGTCGATTGTCACTTAACGTAAAAACATTACTTTGCCACTATACGGTTAATCAATTGTGCCGTTGGAAGAAATAATTGAATAACGTATTCCACTAAAGTGCAACGTTTAAATCTATTTATTTTACCATTCTTTAAGAATCAATGATGATAATGTATCGAAATGGGGATGTATTTTATTCGCCACTTATAACGATAAGGCAAACTATGCCGAGTTAAGGTGTCTGAACACAGTTTTGGCAGTTTGTGAGTATGTCATTTGCCAAATCATGGCAAGAGAAAGGTTGCAGCTCACAAGCTGAAACTTGGCAAGTGAAAAATATACTGATGAAAGATTTTGATTGACAGGTAAAATGTGACGTTTTCATAGTTTCCATGGCAACATGAACGATTGAATACACCCTTAAAATTTCACTTTTGCTCAGTTTACATAAAATTCGCTCATTAGATTTTCCTATAAACTTGCACGCAGCTTACTATAATTAATAATTACCATTTGAAACTTATTTGACCAAATTTTAACAGACTGGTTTTTAGATAATCAATGATATAATTGTACTGTAATTATTAAATGTGTCACAAAATTCGTCCGTTCAACTTCCATTTTAAAGTTCTCGTTATTTAAAATACGATAAAAGTAACAATTCTGCCAAATATCACAAAATTTTAGTGAGTAGATTTTGAGAAATCGTCGTCTGTGTACCATTGCTTTTTTCGCGCCATGTTTGTTTGTCAAATTTAAAACACGCGCCGTCACGCGAGTTACCGCTGACCGCCCGCAAAACTGTGTTTAGCCCCCTTAACTTTGCAAAGACTTCTGGGACTATTAGTGGGAACAGGAAAAATTGGCCACTAGCTGACCGGCGTGTCCCCAGTACAGTAGCGATCCCAGAAGTCTTTGTGAAAATTAACTCGGCCCAGTTTTTGAGGGCTACAAGTTTATTAGTTTTATCAAAACTGTCACGTGTTTACCCTCTTTAAATAAAGGCGTTGCCTTAGCCTGCGAGCAAGCTCTCCTATTTGGGCGAGCGAAGCAAGTCTCGCGGGAACGCGCGAGCGAGAGGCGAAGCCGCGAGGGGAAGTCCCCTCGCTTGCGCGTTCTCGCTAGGCTTGCTTCGCTCGCTCAAATAGGAAGAGCTTGCTCGCAGGCTAGCGTTACATTACCTTACCTTACTCTGGGAAGGAGGGAGCACCCCTCGTATATAATCAGCTTTAAAAGATTTAAGTGGGTATTGGTCAGGTGCAAGAGAGTTAAGAGGCAAGGCAAATTGTCTTACATGTAAATTGAAGCTGGAATAATTAAAACTACGGTCGCAAAACGCATCTGAACGGAACTGATCGTAGACTGGTCAATCGTGACAGCTACGGGTCAAGTACCACTTTTGTTGGTATACCATGTTAGTACTATATCTAACTGCTAAAATAATTAATAGGTTCGTTTACTTCCAGAAAAGCATGACACATACTCAGGATAATGAAGAATTCGCATCTACTCACATGACCTTGCGGTCTCGTCGCGTAGGTTTGACGACTCGTACGTGGAAAGCGCCTAAAATATTACCTTAAGTAATTGTTATAGCAACGTTCTTGTTCTTTAAAATCAAGTCTCTCAAAGACGTACACCCTGCGACCGTCCACCCGTCTTTGGGAGGTATCCGCCTTAAGAGGGAGCTTTATCAACGACGACGGTGACGGTGACGAGGATGTCACTAGAAAAAAGCAAAAGGTTTGCTGAGCAAAACAACAACTCTGCAAGTGCAACTTGCTTTTTCGTTCATTTCTTTGCCGTCACTGCACGACTGCGACGTGAGAGTACCTAATTTTAAGTTTATGGAGGACATAAACAAGCGACAACGAATTTTTCTTTCTCTTTCTAAACTTGAGTGCGGTCCCACACGCGATAAAGTTTAAAAAAACGCGAATTCTACGTTTTTGCTGCCGTTCCCGTCTTCGATGCTAAAGCTCCCTGGTCGACGACAACAGGGACCAATTGTGCCTGCGTTACAGCCGGCTCACACATCGTCTAGACCAGCGGTTTAGAGTGTCTGCAACGCAGGCTAGGACCAACCCTAGGTATCTCTTGCGAGAGAGTTGACTGTATTGGTCGTAAAATGAGTAGTCCAGTAACTCAACAGAACCTCTAATTTAAGTGGTCGTCTAAAATAAAATTGCCTTCTGTGTTGAGGGTTTGGGTTATTGTTTGTGTGGTTATCCTACTGTTTTCACAGCCAATTGTGTGAGCCGTTCAGTGACCCCGTAAAATGGATTCTGTGAAGTATTTTCTTGACTGTTCAATTGGAAACACTCCATTATTATTCCCATCATAGAGAAAGAGGTTCAACACAAGTTCTTGCGTCGTTATAATAACATTTTCCTTGACATAGACTAGAACTTATCGAAAAACTAGAGACATAAAACATAGCATTATTTCAGTTTACAGCGCAGTTGCTTATGTCAAGTCAGGTTCCTCGTTCATTCCTTTCTTGATCCGTAAGAGGATAGTGGTCAACCACTGGTCCAGTCTAGAAATCGAGTCATATTCCTTAACCTGGAATCAAAAGGAAACAGTGTGTGAAAAGATTGTCGCACTGACATGGTATAACATGAAATGAATATACCCCCTGAACTGATTAAAACAGAGAAAGGTAGTATGCTACAATCATGGACAAAAATTCGTAACGATAATGTATCTCACTGACAGTATCTTAACGTTCCATAATAATAGCGAATTCCCTAGTCTGTTCACAGTTCCTCTATCTTGATTTTCTCCTTAGAGATCGTTCAGCGCGCGTAAGAAAATAAAAACCGGGGGGATTCATTGACCGCAAACGCAACGGGGTTAGGTGGGGAAAGGAGAAAATAGACGTAAGTTCCTTCCTTTTTTCTCACGCTTCGCGCTCTTTCTCCGTCTTCGAATCCCTTGTGCATGATATTGGCTCGGCGGGATATTGGTATCCAATTTGATAAAGTTAATTCCCCAACGTAAATGATTTAAAGGCGCTGTACTGTCACCGTCGGCTGTCTAGTTCATTTTGTCAATATTGCCAACTACAGTGTACTTGTCCTTATGCAATAGGGAATCGAACACTTGCGAAGAAAGTACTTGACAAATGTAAATAATGGTAAAAGGACTGAGTGGAGTCCAATTCGGTCTGCAATCATACGACTGATTAACAAAATCGGACTACCGCGTAGCGTTACTTCGATTTGTTGAAATCACGAGTCATAAATTATAAATCAGGACAATTGATAGCCAATAGCCAATCAGATTTGAGAATTTTGTTATAGTTATGATTGATGTTAAAATCACAGCTTCTTGTCCAACAAATATGCCTTCCCAGTATTAAATCAAAAGTAACAAAAAAGTAAAAAACTTGCACAAAGTGTTGGGCTAACAACTTTTCAAAACCCACAATTGAAATTCGTTTTCCGGCTTTGTCCACCCATGTCATTTTTGTATTCGACTTGTTATTTATACCTTCTTTTCATGTTTAGACTAGTTTATTTTTCTGTTTCACTCAATTTGGAGGCAGTTCCTACGGATTAACCCTTTAAGCCCCAATATCCACATACAAATTCTCCAAACTGACCTCCATACAGTTCTTTAAAGAATGTGTTGAGAGAATTTCATAAAAGATCAGTGCATTCTCACTTTGGTGATCATTTTATCAATTCTCACAACCGTATAACTTGACAGTGAATGGATATCGTTAGGAGATAATTATTGATGTTGGTCGCCATTGGGACTTAAAGGGTTAAGTTTAGTTTAAGTTTGTGGCACAGCTCCTCTAAGAGCTGATGATTTAAGCACTAGCCCTCCCTTCGTCAGAGTGAAAAGCTAAAATGATTTTGGGCCTGTTCAAAGCACCAAAAAATGGTTTAATGGTACATATATATCCCGGGAATTTTTTATAAGTGGCTTATACAAATAATTTTGTGCTCTCTAATTGCGATTATATATTTATATATATTATATATTATAGATTATATATTATTATATATTATAGATTATATATTTACAGTTATCATCTATTCTTTTTGTAAAGAGATTTTCCTTTCAGTGAAAGAGTACTTACAGCTTCTGTAAAAGATTCCACATTCTCTTCTTCTTTAGCTTCAAGAAGAGTCTGAAAAAAATAGCGGAGCAGGTATTCTGTGAGAAATATACCACATGCTAACCTCTTAATGGCTGTATAATAAAAAATTCTAGATTGAAGTTATCTTATTTAAGGAGTATCAGCATTAGGGTTAGCTCAATATTGGAAAAGGGCTGGTCTGGAGAGTGGGATGCAGCGATTCAATCCCCTCAGCAAGACCAAACCACATGTACCTTTTTGTAACGAGTCCTTTTTAGGTTCATCAATGTCACATGTTTGAATAAAGCTTTCCACTTTCACTTTCAGCAGCTCTAAAAATCTATCGCCTCCCTTTCGCAATAGAAATTTAAAAAATATACCCCTCCTTTCTCTTATTGCTGAGCTACCATGCTGACACAAAAGAAAGACTAAGGAAATGATTCCTGATCATCCGATACAGTGAGTTCACTCATTCTACTCTTGACCACACCAAAAACTGGAGATTCTTTAAAAATAAATACCTCCTTCAAAACCACCCTCCCCTACCCCACTGGGATGTAATAAGCACAGTAACCACAGAACAAGGTATTGGCGGTGACTTTGCCTTGCAAAAATAGATCTTCACGTGGCTCAAATGACCATGTACTAGCCAGTGTCACAGACCAAACTAAACTCTGGTTAAGTCCATCTGCAAAACACCCCCAAAATCCTTGTTCTGGGTCATCACCTGTGTACCAGGATTAGATAATGCACCATGATTGGCCTGCTGAAAATGCCACTGTCATTTTTCCAATCAAGACCAAAGGAAATTTGAAATGCGCTTCTGGTAATTCGTGGAGTCCGTTGGGGCCCAGAACATGGATTTTGGTGTTACTAACCGAGGTTAAATTAAATCTGCACAACAAGCTAACCATGTGCAAATGGCAGACCATGCCAGTTGTATGAATGCAAACAGCTTGTGCATACTTAATACTTACCCTAAGAAGTTTACATTCCCTGGTGTCTTGGAATGCTGGGTACATATCGCAGTACTTATCAACTGCTCTCTGGGCCTCAACGATATCAATGCACATGTGGCAGAGGGCTGCTTTGAAGAAATACTCTTTAGCACTGTACTTTAGTAATGAACTCTCAATAGCATCAGCAGCAACCTGGAGGTTTTAAATGACACCATCCGGTTAGTTTTGATGGCCAAAATAATGATTTTATTCATCTATGACCAGCCCTCAGTTGTTCAGTCACTGGATATCCAGTGGACGAGTGTTAGGCAAACCAACATTAGGGAGCTTAAGCATCAACGTTTTTGAGCGACGCACGTCAACCAGAAGTGGCCTTTTTTCATTTTTTTTTCGCGCAAATTTTTAGTCAAATTGCCTCTATAACAGTAAAGAAGCTAAGGAATACAAATTTTATATCATCAAGGCATGTTAAGAGGGAAAATACCTCACTTCCGGTTGACGTGCGTCGCTCAAAAACGTAGCTGCTTAAGCTCCCTATTATTGTGTTATCCACTGGATAGTGATTTATCCGATGGACGGTGTTATCCAAATTTTGAACAACTGGAGATAGGTCGTTTACACACACAACATTGCACTTGTACTTTTAAGGCAATTGAAAATAATAAAAGGCCCTTTCTATGAACAAAGTAAAGATCGCTGCAGCAAAATGTGTTCAATTTGAAGATGCCATTATACAGTAGGTCAAAAGCCTGCAATATGCTAGGAATAATATTGTTCTTTGCTGGACAATAATACAAACATAGAGCCAGTGACTTGTGAACAATTTTGAAAAAGCTATAGTCAGCCAAAATCCTTTTCCAATCAGATTTGCTAGTTCATTGTAATTATGTAAAGAAAGCATTGCAACCTCCAATAAAAACTCTATACTTGCGCTACAGAGAGTCAAGGGTATTGTATTTCAGCCCATAAATACTTGGAATAACTCATTGTGTAGCATATTTATTTGATCTGTAAGTCATCTGCAAAATTTTACCAATGTGTGATCATGTTTAAAGAGATTTGTGTGAGGGGGGGGATATTAGGGAGTATCAGATGGCATGATGGTGACGGCAACGAGAACTTCAAAAATGCAATAGGTTGAATTGAAAAAAATAACAACCCTACACACACAGCAGGCTATTTGTAAGTTTTTAGCTTGCAACCGCCCGGCTGTGACTTAAAAATGCCAGGATTCACATTTTAATGAGGACATGAACAAGTGAAATATGAAATTTTCTTTCTCTTTTTGAACTTAAATATGGTAATTAGGGAATCAACTCCAAAAGAGTTTGCTTGCATTTGAAAAAATAAGCAAGTTAGGAAAATATTGTGATAGAGATTAAAAGGATGAGAATTCACTTTTTGAGCATTATTATGGCTGCCATCACTATCATCAGATCTCAAACTCCCTCTTCTTGTTTTCAAAAACACAAACAAACCTGTTCATATATCTCTAGAGCCTTAGCATACTCTTCCATCTGGGCTGAGTACATAGCTACTTTCAAAAGGCACTTGTTTGCAGAACTGCAGGTAGAAAGAGCAATAGCGTCACGACCAGATGACGATAAAAAATACAATAAGTTTGGTTAATAATGTTATGAATGAAACACAACGTAAAACATTGCAATAACTTATTGGGTGGAAAACTGTGAACAACTCCTGATCAGCAGCATGAACAGTATCATGGATCAATCATGACGGTCTTCAGAAAAGGAAAGGTTTGATGGTGTTTGCTTAACCTGTGGTCAGGTGTGTTTTGTTTGTTGAGAAGAGAGGTGGAAAAAACACCTGATGCATTTTATTTTTCTTCATGAGGCACCACCCCCCCCCTACTTAAAAAGAATTAACATCTGGTTGACCTGTCACAATCAGGACTCAAATTGCACAACGCCCAAAAAACGTCTGCTACCAAATATTTTTGTACTTAGGGAAAACAATGGCTATGTTCAGTTGTCACTTCTTTGAAAAACTAGCACAAACGTATTTCTGTGATGGAGTAATATCAGGTGGAGTTTCACTTCCTGTTCCATGTTATTATTGGCCTTAAAATTTTAAAAAAAATTTAAGCCAGGGAGAGTACTTTAACTATGGGAATTACAAGCATTGTACTCTTGTGGGACATCAAACCTAATCTTCAGCCAATCAGAACAAAACTGTGTCAGATGAATTGTGTCTGGACCAAACAGAAGGAACTCTAGATTCTGGCCTTTTTATGTGTACCATACCCCGCTTCCGATGAAAGGCATAATAGAGACATAGGGAGGGCATGATTGCACACTGGTGTTTCCTTGGGAAAGTGACAGGGAAAGCTAGTTTCAAAAACACAGTTTCAAACTAGTTAACGATTTCGCGTTAATGCAAAAAACATGCATGTGTTTTGCATGTCCATTGGTCGCTTATCTCTGAGCTGTACTGTAGATAACCCAAGCACATTAAAAGTATGGTGTTTAACACAGACATTACTAAGGCACCAGTGAGAGCTAATAATGAATGATATAATTTCTTCTAAGTAAATCTGAATTAAGTGGAAATTAAATTTGATCTACGTACCTATTTGATTCTTCTCCTCTGTAATACTGAGCAGCTTGCTCATAATGAAATATTGCCTGAAGGAAAAAAGCATGTGTTTTAGATAACCAAAATACAGTGTAAGTCCCTTTTTGGTGTTAATTTAGTAATGTATTTCTAGCGGATTACTTAGCAATTACTGGATAAAGCAGAGTATGATCTGAAGAATAATGGAGGATCAAGGAGGATGTTATATGCCCAGGTGGAAAGCCTTCCACCAAGACTAGTATTTATCACTTTAAACTCATTGTCTCTTGCAACCCTTGTTAATGATTTCTCACCTTTTCAAGATCAGAAGAATTTCCCTCATGAATCTCGGCTACAGTTATGTGGTGTTTAGCAGCCATGGTGAATCGGCCCTAAAAAACAACAAGTATTTTTAAGGTATTTTTAACAATTTTGATATGGACAAAAGGCTTTTAAAGTGATAAGTCAGGCTTCAAAACTTGGGTTTTATAGGAAAACAAAAGTTAAATAATTTATTGTGGATAAGATAAAAACATTTACAGTCCTCCAGAGATCTTCCATATGCAACAAACCTATATTCTTAAGGGGGGGATTTGTAAATAATAAATTAAATCATAAATTATTAGAACTACTATTCAACAATGAGCTGGATCCATGGCTGCCCCTTCCAGATCAACTAATAAATAAAATGGATTTCATGAGCTACAATTGTTTTGCAATGGCTTTTCTTTGCAAATTTTGCAAATGCAAATTTTTAAAGTAATAGGCCCCTTGCAGGAGGAGGCTGAGGATTTGATTTTTCTCACACACAGCTGGGACACATAGGTTACAGTGTGTTCTGGTCACATACAGTAGCTTGCTCAAGATTCAGTTTTTTTATTTCTTGGTTTGCTGCAATCCACCAATGCCATCCTGCCCCACCCATCCACCTTTCACAAGTTTTCTTTTGTACTGATTATGAAACTGTACTTCAGTACTGTTGTTTAGTATCAATATTACTAGTCTTGGTTTTGTAATGTACAGTTTAGTATAAATTGGTGATGATGTCATTCAAGGTTCAGGTTTAAGTAAAGCTTCTAGCTGTGTCAATTAGTCTACTTTCATACCATGTCTGTGTAAATGTTGATGGCCATTTCAAAAGCCCTCACAGCCTCTACAAACCAAAAAACAACAAATAAGCTGACAGAATGTGACATTGAAATTAAGCAACAATTAAAGAAAAATAATGGACCATTGTAATTTGTAAAAAAAGTTACTATGGACAGCTGCTTGCATCATGGAGGTATCGTTAGAAGTATACAAGGACCGCTCCAGGTGGGGGAGGGGGCGGTTTGGATGGGTTTAAGCTTGTGCTTAATGTTGGAACTATTTACAGCCAATCATTGAGTTGTATTGCCATAACATTAAGTACATACTAAACTTTTATCGTCAAAACTGTGATAGCAATAATTACAGCTTCAATATAAAACCATTACTTTTAAAATTCCAAAAAAAATTATCTGGTCTGATGGGTGCAGTTAGTTGGGGCCCGCTGGAACCCCTGTACCCGCTCCCTTGATCTTAGTATATGTGACACTAGTAGGGAAGGTAAAATGTTTGGTATTTATGGGACCTGCAACTGAATTGGTCACAATAGAAAGGTACCTGTATCATAAAGGTTCCAAAAGGAGATGCTTGACTATATAGACCTTTGTCACACGACGGCCATTTTGTCTCAGGAGTTCGAAAAAGCTTTGTTTATGCATGGCTAGCCTCGTTCTCTCTACTAGGCTAGCCGTGCATAAACAAAGCTTTTCAAATCTCCTGAGACAAAATGGTCACCGAGTGACAAAGGTCTATTCAAGGTCAGGTAACATCCCCAGCTTAAATATATCAAGGCTTGACAGTTTAACACTACACAGTGCTTTTAAAATAAAACTTTAATGCTCAGTTATTTGTTCAGAGTTTCAGGAAATTCAGTTTCATGTTTTCATTGATGAGAAACAGTATTCTTAGTCAACAACTGTTTGTTGAATGTTGCCTAAGAATTTACCATTGATAAATAATTGTTAGAAGTAATAAATCCTGTTAATCCTTCTATCACTTCTGTTACAATGCCTCCTTGGATGCAGCACATTATGCTATGACGTCAACTTTGTAGTTTAACGAGGAAATACCCAAACTTATTACCTTCAACATCAGTCTTTTTGAAACAGTTCCCGGCATCAACAAAACGCTGCCCTGCTTCATGTTTGGACTGTAAAGTGATTTGTAGTTGAGCTGCTTCCATAAACGCGTTACCAGCAGCTGCAATCAAGATGTAATAAATAAAAACCATAATATAATGATAAGGAACAGCAAAAGCTCAGTTACAACTCTGATTTTGACTTAATTTTCAATTAAATTCTTGAGCTTGAAAATAAAATACACAAGAAATCCACGTTCATTTTGGGGTTCTGCCAACGAATCCCACACTTTTAAGCTTATATAAAACTATCTATTTCATGTACTGTGAAGGAAGATATGTCCTCATGACCTTCCTGTATCAAGCCTCTGCATGTATGTAGTCATGATTTATAGCTGAACAAAAAAGTGTGTCTTTGAGGCCCTGTAAATAACACTCACGCCACTGAATTTGGAACTTGGTATGTTTACTGACTTTTGATCCTTCAGTAGTGCGAGCCATATTACAGTACTGAACAACACAGCCTAGCCTACACAGCCTAGCTGACAGTCTATGCAAGCGGCTTAAAATACCTACCACTCCATTTTTGTGCCATCTTGAACATGTTTCCTGCACTAACGTACAATTCAGCCGCATCTTCCAGTTTCGAAGTGCCCCTGCAAAAATAGACAAAATAAAGTTTCGTTTTTAAAAGGTATAAAACCTGATTACTCTCGGAAAGATCTCAAACAACTCATCATTACAGAGAATATACCAATTTCACTTACTGATGATGACTTACCCAAATAATCCACCTAAAAACCCCTGAGAAGATTTCACTTTCTTTTCCGCCTGAGCTATAAGCCCAATGGCCTTCTCTTCATTAGACATGCTATCCTAGAAACCTTGTTCCACTTTCCGTTGGCGGGTTAAAGTCATTTATATACAGCACCGTAATAAAAATTGCAACTAATTCAAAGACCATTCACGAACTTCGTCCCAAAAGTTGACGTCACCTAATTTTTGACGCGTAGAGACTGGGGCGTAGGAAGTTATATCCCGGCATTCACTTGGAGAGTAAACAGTATTCAAAATGGTGGATAGACAGATAAACGCGCGAAAATTCAGTGTACAGTTTTAGAGATTTTTTACCGTACTCCATTGAATAATAGTGACCAAAAACTTCAATTTCAGCAATATCAGAGGAAAAAGTTAATCTTCGTGAGTTAAAATGGGGGTAAGGCGCCTTTTTAGTTTGAAAGTTGCGCATAAAGCTGACGACTCAGACTGCTTTTGCCGCGCAATACAATATTTGAACTTTATATAACTGATCATGACTGAAAATTTCAGTCCTTTAATGTTATGTTTGTTTCCTATAAACCACAGAAAAAGTCTGCTAAAGGAAAAGAGAAAAAGCTCAAAAGGAAAGAGGTAATCATTTTTAGTATTTATCTCCATACTGTCACTTTGTCAATGCAGACCAATATACATAGGAAATTTATTAAGCTCATTCTAAAGCTTAAACGGTGGATACTTTGCAAATTGTTTGCATTTGTATTTTCTGCTGGAACTGGTGAACCGTTAACATGTACAAGATCACGTTCTGCAGCATGTTTCAGTCCTATATTAATTACCAAAAATCTATTACTCATTAGTAACATGGCCCATTTGACAATCGAAGTTTTTGCATGCTTCTATTTTGCCTGCCATTATAACTAAAGGTCCCCCATTGTTTCTTTCTTTCTTTTTCTTATGTATCCTGTCTTATTTGAAACCCTGGGGGACCCTCATGTAAAAGTGATAGGGATGCCCCTCATCCCATGAGTAAACTGTTATTTTGTTACAAGTTGTTGCAGTACAAACTGGAGAAGATTCGATACATGCGCTAAGTTGGTTTGATCTACTCGAGGTTGTTTCAATACAAGGTATCCGGTCGTTTCGCCTACGGGTCGTTTCGCCCACGGTCTGTTCGCCTACGAATAGAGTCGATTCGCCTACGTCTTATATGTCAGTTCGCCTACGAGTCAGATGTTGAAGCTTTAAAGCTGAATTATTAAAAGTCCTTGTTCCTTGTATTATTCCTTCCATTCTATCCTCGATGGCTAGAAAAACAACGCGCTAAAACATCTAAGTTCGAATGTTTTTACAAACTTTATCATGGCGGAACCCGGTCGTCTACGAATAGAATGTGTGAAAGATATTTGTAAAACTGAACATTAAGATGTGTATTAAAATGAAATTAACCACCGTTTACGGTCTTTGTGTGGTCGTGTAAAGCGCGAGCAGAGCAGTAAACAAACCACTGTTTACGGTCTTTGTGTAGACTTGTGAAGCGCGAGCGGCGCCTAAACTAAAGAAGGTGAGACTTTTCATTAACATATACGAAATTAGCTTCGGCTGCACTTGACAGTCGGTTCAATTTCTACGTCGATTTGGCGACTTGTTGAATCTTTTAACTCTATAAACTAGTTTATGTATGTAATGTGTCCGGGTATTCTGAGTTACTCCGTTTGCATACTTTCATCTAACAGACAAATAATATAAAAACTTAAAGCGTCCTTTGTGTAGACTTGTGACTTGAGCGGCGCTCATACTAAGGGAGGTGAGAGTTTTCATTAGCATACATAGTACTTACCACAAAATTGGCTTGTTCACACTACACGGCTTGATGTAACTTTTTATTTCGATGTTGCGGCTTGTTAAATCGATAATCATAGTCATATACTTCGGACTGAGTAAGATAAATAAACGTTCGTGTTCACGTTTAGACTTGGTTCTAATAACCAAGGTTTAGATTAAAGTAACAACCTACACAAAAGAAGGTGGGACTTTTCCCATTAACACAATCAATTCCAAAGGACATTGTTTAACGTAGATCAATTAGCAAAGGATTACCAAATAATATTAGCATTCACCAATCACAACGCTGCGATTTCGATCCATCGGACAAGGCATTGACAGTATAAAAGCCCTGGTATTTTATTCTCATGTCACCAGTTCGTTAGAACAACACTATTCGAAAAGTCAATCTACGCTAATCATCATCGATATCATGGAGGAATTTTACTGTATCTTTTGTGCTGAAATCGTAACCTCCGCCGCCGAGGGCCCTACTCTGCGGCGGATGCGACAGATGGCAACACCGTCGTTGTCACACTGGCGTTGACCGAGCCACATATCGACAGGCAGTAAGGACCGCCCAGGACATTTTATGGACTTGCATCTATTGTACAGACGAGACACCAGTACCGGTTGCTGCTAGTTCGATGATCAATACAGGTATATAATTTTTTTGTTATCTCTTAAGGTTGATTTCCAGCACTGTGTAATTTTAAGGCAAAAATGTTTCATGCGCTATATTGAATGATTTAATCATTGAAGTAACTAATAGCTAATAAATGTGCTTAAAACCAACAGACTCGAGTACGCCTTCTGCTCTACCAGAATTGTCTTTACCCGTTTCATCGCCATCAGACCTCGGAACAGTCATGGAAGTGACTATGTTCTCTGCCCCGCCAAGCCCTCCATCGGGTACAAGGATTGAGGAAGGTAACTATATATATATATATATATTGAAAGATACGGAGGGTTTAAAAAAATTACACACAGTTTTGTGTTCGTGCGCCTCAGCGCTCAGGCACAGACCCAGCCCCTCCGCAATCTTACTGACTACATCCAGGAGCAGTGGATTGAGAGCACCATCTTCACCCCAAAAGATTGGAGTGTCTTCAAGCAGCCGATCCGGACAAACAACGATATAGAGGGGTGGCACAACGCTCTGAACCGCCGAGCCGGTGGCCAATGCAGATTACAGTTTTACCTCTTAATCGAACTTCTTCATCGAGAAGCCCGCTTAACGTCAATAACAATCAAGCTTGTTTCAGACAAGAAGTTGAAGAGAATACAGAGAAGGAAGCACAGGCAACTCCAACAGAAACTATTCGACGCCTGGGAGCAGTACCAGACAGGCAATAAGAGTGCTTCACAATTACTCCGCTGCTGTTCCCACTTGAATGGACCTGCTCGTTGCCAGTAAGACTGAAATAGAGAACTTTGATATTTTCAACAGCAACGTCAGAAGTTTAATAGTAAAGGTTAAGTTTAGGTTAAGTTACACATTAATTTAGGTAGAACTTATGATCGCAAAGTCGATAAGCATCGAAGTTAAGTTAGGTCGAGTTTAGTTAAAATAAGCCAGTTGGATGGACCTGCTCGTTGCCAGTAAGACTGAAATAGAGAACTTTGATATTTTTAACAGAAACGTCAGAAGTTTAATAGTTAAGGTTACGTTTAGGTTAAGTCACACATTAATTTAGGTAGAACTTATGATCGAAGTTAAGTCGAGTTTAGTTAAAACAAGCCGGTTAAGTTTAGGCTAAGTTTTCTTCGGTTGTCTTTCCTTTAGGTTAAGTTGCACATTAATTTAGGGCAGCTAAGTTTAGGTAGAACAAGGCTGGAATTTCGAACTTAAGGTGGCGAAATAGATAAGCATCGAAGTTAAGCAAGGGTTACATGTGAATTATTTTATCAAGGGGCGGGTGTCATTAGGACAACCCACACGTTCCCGCATGTAATAAGTGTATTAGAATTAACACAGAGTGCGGAGGAATAACATGTTTTTGACGGTTTGATTGTTGATTATACAGAAAACACAGGCGAATTGTACGATCGGCTCGGTAAACTTTTCGCTTCGCCTACCGTCACAAAGAACTCCTCTGCGCCCTGTGGAATTAAACGCGAATGATCTGTTGTTTAAGGGGCAGGTGTCACTCGGATAACCTAAACGTCCCCGCATGTAATAAGTGTATTAGAATTAAAATGTCGCGAAATGAGTACGCTTCATGGTTACTGAGTGTAATTGGAGAACCGTGTAATTCGCAACTCAGAATATGCGATATTTACATAACTTGTTTTTACTCAAACGAAGATGAATCAAATTAAAACGGACATTTTTTAAGGAAAACGAACGCTCGTTATTTACAATTATTTAACTTCGATAGGCTTGACTTTATGAGTCACGCTCTAGGAATTGAATCGACTGACTAGGATCCGAGCGCGATCGCACATAAAGTAGATGAATAAACTGTGGTAACACATGTTTTAACACGTAGGCGAACTGACATATGAGACGTAGGCGAATCGACTCTAACCGTAGGCGAACAGACCGTAGGCGAAACGACCCGTAGGCGAAACGACCGTAATTCCAATACAACCAAAACAACTTCCCAACTTTCGAAGATTTAGTTGATAATTATAACAAAATTAAAAGCCTGTAGCAGTTAAATGTTTCTCTTTAGTCTCGAAGAATGAACTACTAGGTAAGTACAATTCGGCTCAACCACGCGTGAACCAACTACGAGGGATGTTCGTGATACATCAATCACCAACAATTAACAACTCGGTCTAAACAATGCAATCAATATGTAAGTGACCGTCATTAGAGACAAAATTATGATAAATGAAACCCTTTAATTAGTTGTTCACAGTCATTGTTTGTATATAACATTTAAGTGTTGTTTATAGGTTCCTGTTTTTAATTTTGAACTCGCGGTCGATTTCCAACACTACTGTATTGTAAGGGATGGACCATTAGAAAACTTATAGGGGCAGGGTGAAGTACAGGGGAAGATTAAATGAAAAATTAGTGCATGCCAAGTAACCCTAAAAAATATTTTTGCTCTGGACTTAAAAAAATTCATACAAGAGAAATGCGGCATGTAAAGAAAGTCATGTCCAATAGCCTGGGGCTAGTGGATTTTGCTTTCGGGCTAGTGAATTTTGTTCTTAACTTGCGCGACGGGCAAGTGAATTTTTTGGGGAAATTCAAATTACAGAAGCTACAGCTTGCCCAAATGGCAGGCTGTAAAACTGACTTTCTTTGCACACTGCTGCCTGCATCTAGGGGCAGGTGTCACTTGGATAACCCACACGTCCCCACTTGTAATATTAAATAAGTACATTAGAATGATTATTTTATTTAGCTTAACAACATTTAAAATTGACTTTCAAGAGGCGGGTGTCACTTGGACAACCCACATGTCCCCGCTTGTAATGAGTACATCAGAATCACTATCTCATTTAGCTTAACAACATTTAAAACTGACCTTCAAGGGGCAGGTGTCACTTGGACAACCTACATGTCCCCGCTTGTAATAAGTACATCAGAATCACTATCTCATTTTGCTTAACAACATTTACAATTGACCTTCAAGGGGCAGGCGTCACTTGAACAACCCACACATCCCTGCTTGTAACAAGTACATCAGAATCACTATCTCATTTAGCTTAACAGCATTTAAAATTGACCTTCAAGGGGTGGGTGTCACTTGGACAACCCACACGCACCGCTTGTAATAAGTATATCAGAATCACTACCTCATTTAGCCTAACAACATTTAAAATTGACCTTCAAGGGGCGGGTGTCACTTGGACAACCCACAAGTCCGCGCTTGTAATAAGGAACATCAGAATCACTATCTTATTTAGCTTAAGAACATTTGAAATTGACCTTTAAGGGGCGGGTGTCACTTGGACAACCTACACGTCCCCACTTGTAATGAGTACATGAGAATCACTATCTTATTTAGCTTAACAATGTTCATTTAAAATTGACCTCTAACGGGTGGGTGTCACTTGGACAACTCACATGTCCCTGCTTGTAATAAGTACATCAGAATCGCCATCTTATTTAGCTTAAGAACATTTGAAATTGACCTCTAAGGGGTGGGTGTCACTTAGACAACCCACATGTCCCCGCTTGTAATAAGTACATCAGAATCACTATCTCATTTAGCTTAACAACATTTGAAATTGACCTTCAAGGGGCGCGTGTCACTTGGACAACCCACATGTCCCCGCTTGTAATAAGTACATCAGAATCGCTATCTTATTTAGCTTAACACCATTTAAAATTGACCTTCGAGGGGTGGGTGTCATTTGGACAACCCACATGCTTGCGGCCAGCAAGGTGAAAATGAACGGGAGTGAAAAAAAAAGCGAACAGGAACACAAAAACAATGTTTTTGGTGAGCAAATGCAACAATATTATTCGTCCATTAAAATAATGTGTAACTAAGAAGTTATACGTTTTAGTCGTACAAAACAGTAATGTGTCATGCAAAACAGCAAAGAATTGTATAAAAAAGTGTGCTGAACATGCAAATTTGCTTTTTGCTAATTAGATCTATTGATTTGGTTGCCTTTCTCATGGCTGTCGCTGTTTAGCATTATACGATTTTATATTTTTTGTTTATGAGTAGCCAGTTAAGGAGAGCTTCGCTTTTAGCCCTGGCTAAATCTATATATTAAGTACATTAGAATCACTACCTCATTTATCTTATCAACATTTAAAATTGACTTTCAAGGGGCGGGTGTCACTTGGACAACCCACATGTCCCCGCTTGTTGTAAGTACATTAGAATGACTTCCTCATTTATCTTATCAAGATTTAAAATTGACTCTCAAGGGGCGGGTGTCACTTGAACAACCCACACATCCCCGCTTGTAATAAGTACATTAGAATCACTATGTTATTTATCTTATCAACATTTTAAAATGACCTTCAAGGGGCGGGTTTCACTTGAACAACCCACACGTCCTCGCTTGTAACAAGTACATTAGAATCACTACGTTATTTATCTTATCAACATTGTAAATTGACCTTCAAGGGGCGGGTGTCACTTGGACAACCCACACATCCTCGCTTGTAATGAGTACATTAGAATCACTACCTTATTTATCTTATCAACATTTAAAATTGACCTTCAAGGGGCGGGTGTCACCTGGACAACCCACACGTCCTTGGTTGTAATGAGTACATCAGAATCACTATCTTCTTTAGCTTAGCAACATTTAAAATTGACCTTCAAGGGGCAGGTGTCACTTGGACAACCCACCTGTCCCCACTTGTAATGAGTACATCAGAATCATTATCTTATTTAGCTTAACAACATTTTAAAATTGACTTTTAAGGGGCGGGTGTCACCTGGACAACCCTCATGTCCCTGCTTGTAATAAGTACATCAGAATCACTATCTCATTTAGCTTAACGACATTTAAAATTGACCTTCAAGGGGCGGGTGTCATTTGGACAAGCTACATGTCCCCACTTGTAATAAGTACACCAGGATAACTATCTCATTTATCTTATCAACATTTAAAATTGACCTTTGAGAGGTGGTATTGTCATACCAATAGTGACCAA